TTTTTCTGCTATTATTCCTTCATTGTCTTAGAAGTAATATGTTTCTGTCAGTCTGTTCGTTCTCCTTGGATTTTGGGTCCTCAGTAAAGAGGTATCTGCTCTATTTCCCAAAGCAGCAACTTAATATCTGTGCAGTTCTTGATGGTTTTGCTGGCATTCCCAGGTGCTTAAATGGGAGGTGTGGTACTTAAGCTCAGGAATGCTGCTGTTTGTTAGCATCAGGGCAGTGGAGCACTCTGGCTTAGGAAATTGTCTTTCTGAGTTGAAGCCTGGTGTGTCTCATCTTGGCTGCTACAAGAGCTGGAAACTAGCATTAGCTTAGAAATCCATTGCTTGCTGGTACTGTTCCATGCCCACATTCAGGCTAACAGGGCATGCACTTGAGGTTTGCCTGGTTTTTCGCAGTAGAGCTTAGAGGATCTTAGAACTAATTGTGCTGTTTTCTTCTCTGGTATAGTTCTTCCTTCAGATAAGATGAAGGAATTCAGACCTTTTTCAACATGACTTCAGTAATCCTAAATCACTGTTCTTTTTCTTTGCTACTTTTGTTGTAATAGGTAGTTTTACTGTTTCTCTAGTATTTATTTTCCGTATTCTTTCCACATACTTGCTTTGTATTGCCTGTGTTCATTGGTAGTGCTCGTTTCTTTTACATATGTTTCTGCACTGTTTGGGAAGTGTATTAAACTAGGCACATGGCTAGTTCCTCCAGCAAATGCGCAACCTGGTTTTACCTTCCTCTCCAGATACAGTCTTGACTAGCTGATAAGTAATGACAGCCTGGGGCAAGTAAATTCTGAACAAGAATAAATAAGTCATTTAGCTGCCAGTGGGTCATAGTCCTTTGCCTAGGATCTGAGCAACCTCTAATCACTTCTCTGATTAAATAGGACTCTCTTCCCACCATTGCCGTGTTATTATTAGGACCACATTTGTCTAAATGTTCAAGCAGGGTTGTTGACTTTTTTGTTTTTCTGGGTGTTGTTCTGGTTTTGTCGTCGTTGGTTTTCTAGACTCCCTACTACTGGGTGGAAGAATTTTTTTTTTTTTTTTTTTTAATTTTAGATATTAACTGGAACTCTTGGTCTTTACCTCAAGACTTACAAAGTTAAGTTCATTGCTGTAGTTGACTGGGCTTCTTGTGCTACCTCCAGCGATAGTGTAAGGAGAGCCCTTTCTCTTTTTGGAACAGCCTTTCACAGTCAACTCCCAATTTTTCAGCTTTGCACTCCCAAGACCATTCCTGGTTTCCGTGGGCATCTTCCAACAGCCACTATCTTACTACCTGTGGATGGTTTAGATCTACCTTTAGAAAGGAACCTAGCATTTGTCCTGTAGATTAATATCTACCTGACTTGCCTGCTGGTAGCATTGGCTGAGCCTTTCCAGCTCTGCTTTTCATCTGAGGCTCACAGAGATGTTACTGGTCTTTTCTCCTTGGCTATCCCTCCCAAAGCAAGAAGCTAGTCGCGCTTCCTTGCATGATTTGCTCTGAAGCTTTTAATGATCCATCTGGTTGAGAATGAAGTTTTATGGGAGCTAGGATCTTGAGTTCCTCTTAAAGACCTGAAGTACCTCTTCGCAGAGGAGCAACAACAATGTGACACAAATGTGTTTGCAAAGAGTAAAGTCGATTGAAAATCACCCTGGTTAAACAAACACTTGTGTACTCTTCTACTCCCCATTTAGAAGACAAATAACTAATCTTAATTGGATTCACACATTTGTTTCTATTTCAGTTTCTTTACGTTATCTGCACTTAAAGATAATTCTTTCAGTTGCATAGCTGAAAAAGTATCATCTTAACTTGCCCTCTTCAAGGTATGTGCATGCCACCTGTGCTTTGGTTAAAGATCATCTTCTGGTTTAGGATAGTTCTCTCGCTCAAAAAGCAAAACCATAAAGTTTTATGTAAGGTACACCTATCATACGCTTCCTGTTAGGTATTAGCTCCCAATAGATCGCTGTCAGTGTATGCTGATATCTCTTACTGAAAAAGTGTAACATTAGCTCTTTCTGCAGACTACTGAGTTGAGTTAGATCTTGTGGAAGAGCACTGCACGGTGGGCAAAGTGGCTATTGATAGCATTGATGGAAATACCTCACAAATTTTCAGGGTATTGACCTTGCAGTTCAGTTTGGAAAAGATAACATGTTGAGAAACTTTGCCCTTTTGCCCTTTTTCAGCTTATCCTGGTCGCTTTCTTCCAGTATGTGGGAATAAATGTAAATAAAAATCATCTGGAGTTCTGAAGTAAAGAGCTTGAGTCTTTTGTTATCAATTTATCACCAATTTTAGCACGCTCAGCAGTGTTCCTCTTGTCCCTGGGGTAGTCTTTGTCTCGCTTGATTACAAATCTTTCTGGTTTTTGTTGTTGTTGGAATGTAAAATCAGATGGCTTCTGAACCACTGCATTAATGAGCAAGGGAAAATGTTGCTTAACTCATTAACACAAGTGACTTGATTGCAGAACAATACCTCTAATTCAGTACCTGTTTATGTCAGTGAATCGATTCATTTAGATGCTCGTTTTCAGTAAGGTAAAAAAATGGAGAATCAACCTGTTACTGTTCTTATGTGTGATTTTTTTTTTTCTTTTTTTTTTCCTTTGGGTATCTAAATTCACCACTGACAATTGATGCCATTGTGCTAAAATCAGCACAGTTGTCTTTTTTTCCTGCAGAGAATTCTGTCATCTTTGCTTCCTGCATGATTTTCCTAATAGTGCTGTTTGTGTATAGGTATTTCAGCTGTGATAACCTTCAGCCACCCTCTTAACTTCCACTGCTTGCTTAGGTGGGACAGCATGCGTGGTGACCGGCCAGCCCTTCGACACCGCAAAGGTGAAGATGCAGACATTCCCTGACATGTACAAAGGAATTGTTGACTGTTTTGTGAAAACCTATAAGCAAGTGGGGTTTCGAGGCTTCTACAAGGGAACCACGCCAGCGCTCGTAGCCAACATTGCAGAGAACTCCGTTCTGTTCATGTGCTATGGATTTTGCCAACAAATTGTGAGAAGAATTGTTGGAGTAGACAGGAAAACAAAGCTCAGGTTAGTAATAGAAATCTGTTTTGTATTTTAAAATAAATCAATAAAAAGTCATGCAACTGTTACTTGCAAATGTGTATTGTCAGGGTGCAACTGATGTCCCAGACCCCCCCCTCTGCTAGTATGCAGTGTAGTAAGCTTTGGAGTGTAGACCTTTGTGGTAGGATATGGTGCTGAACTACAACAGAGCCATCTACTTGTCACTGCAGCTGGCTGGTTTAGATAATAGCAGTTTAATTGGAATATTCAAGACCTGGAACATCTTACCAAAGGAAATGAGCATTGCAACACCTGAAAGTTGGTATTCCCTTGATCTCCAGGTTGTTCTGATTTTGTAGGGAGGTAGTGGTTCCTCTTACAGGGAGGCATACTGAGGGGAAAGGGCACTTCTTCTAATATTGCCTTGCTTTTAAAATTAATTTATTTAAGTTTCAAAAGCTTGAATCTAATGGTCGTTAGACCGAGGTCTAATTTTGCACAGCGTGTTGTCAATAGTACTGGCAAGAAGTGGTTGCGTAAGGAATGAGAAAGAAGAGAGAAAGTGTTTAATATTTACTCTGAGTCCACTGCCAGGCTGCTTTTTAGTTCAGAGGATTTCTTGAGCCTGGTGTGACCAAGTCAGTGACTTTAAATCTCTTTTGAAGCACATGTCCAGTCTCCCATCAAATTCTTCTAAGTTCCTTGCATCATCTGCAGTATGCTTTGGCGGGGGGTTCTGCAGGTGATAATCATTAATTCTGTAACTGGAAGAGGCAGTTGGTCTTTAGCCGCTGTCTCTATGCCACTTGAGGTTTTGTAGGCCTCTATCCATTGCTCAGTGCCCCTTTCACCCACCTAAGTCTTTTCCTAGGTGGAAGGATTCCAGCCCTCTTAGTCAGTGGGCACTTGGGAGCTGTTCCTTTAACTGTCTTTGCCTTTCTCTGAAACTCTTGTAATTCTAATGGACCTGGGTTTCAGCTCATGAGACCAGAGCAGTGCAGAGTATTCAGGGTGTGAACAAGTTTATGCACTGGCATAACGATCATAATCTCTTTCTAGCTAGGATGGCTTTTCTCCAGGTGCATCACTTTAGAGCTGTCGGTGGTCCAGCAGTCTCAGTGTGCCTTACTGTTACGCATTTCTCAAGGTATGTCTTCTGTGCAGCAGAGTAGCTGCACCTTCTCCATCCTTGTGCCACCCCACAGTGTGTAAAAGACTTCTCATCCTGTCCTAACTCCTTTCATTCAAAGAGTAACGCAAGGCTAATCACACTCAGCTTTTCATTAATAGCTTTGTTCTGACTCTGTCATGTCTGTCTCCAAATGGAAGTAGCTGAGGAGGCCATGATTCTGCATTTGAGATCTCTGACATGACATGGGTAGCTACCTAAGTGCAAGACAAGTATCTAGAAGTGGCATTATGTGAGGTGTTTTTCTGTCATATGTTAAGATGTGCTGTATCTTAAGACTGGGGCCTGCTATGAGGGAATATGAAATGATGAAGAGACATGTATTAATTGCTCTCTACTTCAATTCTCTTTCACTGTTTTCTGGCGGTTGAGACCTCTCAGCTGGGACAGAATTGTTTCCACCTTTTTATTGCTTTCTTAGATCAGGGACTTTCTGCTTGCTCAGCTTACAGACCCCTTATCTTTTTCTACCCACTAAAATGTAGGAGGTAGGCCTACCAACAGCATGCTTCGCTTCTTAACCATCTTTTGTGATCCTTCTGGGAGGTAGACCACAGTCTTACAGAGGTCCTAGGATCATCTCTTCAAGTGACTAGACAGCATGTTTAGGGTGTATGTAGGGGAGGTAGCGCAGGAAGCTTTCAAACACTGTACATAGATGTACTACTCCACATCTTCAGATTGGGATACAGAATGGGAATGTAATTTGAATATGTAGCAATAGCAAGTGCCTCTGACCCCTTACCCTTCTTTCCTTGGTCAGATACTGGTACTTTTCAGATCCAGGATAGCTGTTTAATACGTTGTTGATTAAAGAGCAAACAGTGTGACTGCGTGGCTGTACTAGGCCAAAACACTGAAGGATTTAAGTTTACTTGAGAGATCTCTCCTTTGGTCTCTTCATCTGGATCATTGTGGGGGCATCTGATGGGGTGCCTGTATTGACACGTTCTGCAGTGGTGCCCTGAGTACATGTGGTCTGTCCAGGGAGTCTCCACCCGTTCTCATTGTGGAAGAGTCAAGAAGCCTTTGTAGTGTGTTGTAAGACAGGGAAGAACCCCTGATGAGGTGGCTATCCTCCAGACGTGGCAAGTAAAGAACTGTGATTACCTTCATCACCTCTGCTGTTTAAAAACTGTCATACTGTCTTAGCCTGAAGAAGAAAATGTGTGAAGTCACAAACTGAGGTGAACCTGACCATTTTTCTTGCCCATATCTGAGCGATTGCTTGTCACTTTTTCATTATTTTATAGTGTTTGAGATTTCTCAAAACCAGCTATAACAGTTTGGTTTTGCTTTAAGTTACCTTTTCAGTAATGCATTTAAATGGCTTGGAAATAAACTTGCCTAGCCTGTCTGTGTTTAGGGATACCCTGGTCAGTGCCTTGCAAAACAGTTACAAGGACAGTTACAGAACAACACTTTCTCCAGTTAAAGGAATACGTGCCACTGATGCACAAGTTGAAAAGAAAACAAATGGAGAGGGCAATGCTAAATTCCATTTATCTTTTAACATCCATTTAGTCCAACCAAACTGATTTCATTCCATGCTAAAGTCTAAACTGAGACAACCAAATGGAAAGAGAAGTGCTAAATTCCATTTGTCTTTAAATGCCCAGTTAGTCCAACCAAACTGATTTTGTTCCATGCCAAAGTCTAAACTGAGAGAACTATTATCCTTGTTCACCTCAATTTGACTTTCTCAGTACGTGACCAGTCATCTTCAGCAGGTTATTTTCTTTGGGGGGGGGGGGGGGGGGGAAATGTCTT